TCTGATATGACTTCAATGAAAACCGATATTTTATCTAACATTTCCTCATCAGAAACTAAAGTTTCTTCAGATATTACTTCCTTAGATAGTAACTTTCTTAGAAGAAAAGGTGTCTTCTGACATATCTTCTTTAAAAACCGAAATTTCTTCCGATTTAGAAAACAGAATGTCTTTAAAAGATGAAATTTCTTCTGATATGTCTTCGCTAAAAAATGAAATGATTTTAAAAAACGCAAAAAAAGATTAGACATGTGATATGCCCACGAACACTTGGAGCATTTATACCAGTCACAGTTAAAGAATCGCAAACAGAAACGAGACGAGACTCCTCAAGAATATGAAGTAGATATTGCCAGGTTAGTGCGATTTGCCTACCTATCAGCTCCGGAAAACATGATGGAATGTTTGACAGTCCAAACATTTGTTGGTGGACTCCACGACCACGAGATGCAGAAGACACTCCATTTAGCCCGCCACGAAACATTGGTCCGCTGCTTTAGAGTATGAGGCAGCTACGCATGCTTCTGGTGGATACAGTAACGTGAGGACTGTAAAAGAAGAAAATGTAGAAGATAAACTCGAACAACTATTTAACGTAAAGAAAAGCTTTACTGATAATAAGATGAAGACAAAGACCATCATGTGCTGGAATTGCGGTAAACTGGGACATGTACTCAGTACGTGCAAACTCCCTAGGGTCCTAGCAACTGAAAACGCCGCAGGAAAACTAGAGTGGGTCGGCCTAGAGGGGGCAGCTTTGACACGAAACCATTCCAAAGACCCTCTCATATTGATAGCCTCTTTGAAATGTCGCGATGATAGTATCTACGTAGACGGCGAAGTAAATGGTACAAAGCGTACATTGTTGGTGGATACTATAGCAACTAGGACTATTATACGACCAACAACCATAAATAACCTTAAGAGGTTTCTACCAACAAGATTGCGACTGCGGACTGCCACAGGAGAAAGTGCCAACATCCACGGGGAAATCCAGGTTTAATTGGGAATTGGTACAGAAAAGTTATACTGTTAATATCGCTGATATCGAAGAAGATGTTATACTTGGAATGGATGTAATAAACTTACATGGTTTCTAGTTAGACTTTAAGAACAAAGTGATCAAAGTTGGTGCCGAAGAGGTATTCCTACATCCATATGAAGACAATACCGCGCCAGTTGCTGTACAGGAGGATACGGTGATACCTAGAAGAAGTGAAACCATTATAGTAGCACGGCTTCAAGAAACTATGGAAGAAGGAACACCTGTAATGATGGAACCTTGAAACCACGATGAAGAGAGTTTCGACAAGCAATTCCAATTGGAAAGGGGTTGGTCACAACTGCTAAAGAGATTCCAATCCGTCTTATAAACGTTACAAGAAAGAGCAGAATCGGAACTTGTGTACCAGTAACTTCCAATATTCGTCAGACAACAAGTTCCGATAATTCCAATGACAAATTTGAGCAAATGATTGCTTTTGCTGGTCAATCTCTAAATCAAATGGAAAAAAAGAAAGAGGAATTGCTTCGACTATATCAAGATATTTTTGCACCAAAAGGAGGAAAACCAGGAAGAATTTCTGTTGTAAAACACAAAATTAACACTGGTGATGCCAGGCCGATTCGTCAATTAGCTAGTAGATTACTTAAAGGTCAAATAAGACAGAGAGGGACTTGGAGGATTAGAGCATGATTGAATACTAAAATGGCTCGCATTACAGTATTGTGATGAGGTTTCTAATAATTTATTTATAAGATAAAACTTGAAGGCCCCAGTATTGATCCTTGCGGAACTTCTTATACCGGTTGTTATTATTATAAAATACAATTTGAAACAGTTCGCTGAAATATGCTTTAAAAAGATGAAACGCAGTTTCTCTAACCCAATACACACAATCAAACGCTTTTAACTAATCACATATAGTAATTCCTACAAACTTTCCGTTTTTAATGCTCTCAACAATGTAAAAATGGCACAAGTCACACCATAAGACTTTGACCGTTTAGAACGAAAACTAAATTGATGGACAGAAAAATATTATTTAATTTAAAATAATGAGAAAATATATTTTAAGTAAGTTTTTCAAAAATTGGAAAATAGTTATTAATGATTGATTTTTTGCTTTCACAAATATCGAAACTATCAGCAAGAAAATGATAGTGAATATACTTTTCATAGGATCTAACATAATTTCAAAAGTTTTTTTTATAAGGTTGGCGTCAATTTCATAAATACTTGGCAAATTTTTAAGACTTCTGGAATCAAGAACATCTTCTTTGCTAACTGGAAAAAAGATGAGCCAAAATATTAATTGGCAAAACCAGTACAGACTTAATGTACACATTAAAAAGAAATTGTTTAGACTTGTTTTGATTTGTTTCTTATAAAGTATATACTGTAGAATATCCGGTAATGAAGAACCAGCAACTGATAATTTTTATCCTATACATAATTTCTATAAAATGGACCGTATTCGAGATATTTGAGAAAATGTGTAAATTTCGAATTTTGAAGAAAACTCAAAAACGGATAAAGGAAAAAACATTAAATTTTAAACTCAAGTTTTATTTCGACCTGAGGTGAACTAGATTTTGGACAGAGTCGGAACATTTGGGGGGGTACTTTATTGGTGGTCAGTTTTATATTTTATGGAATATATTCGTTATTTACGTTTGGGGAAGAAAATTTTTTAAATAAAAGTTACTTACAATATTATTATCTATAATTTTTGTTCTATGTCAAATTTTCCTGAAATGGTCCGTATTCGAGAAATTTGACAAAATGTGCAAAATTCTGATTTTTAAGAAAATTGTTAAACTAAAAGTTTTTTGCGATATCGATCTCCATAATTTTTGTTTTTAAATGACTTTTCTAAAATGGACCGTAATGGAAAAATCGGAGGAAAAGTGCTAAATTTTTCAATGAATATCTATAGAAAAATGTTTCGAGGTAGATGTATGTGGAAAATGTATATATTTAGTTTATCCTCTAAACATTTTTAGAGATGCTGCAATAGGTTAACTAGATAGGAAAGTCATGTGTTGGACACATCAGATTTTTGATTTTAGAATTAATACTTTCTTTCGCAATATTTTTGTATTCCCTGTATATTATACTAAGACAAATAAAACGAAATGGTTTTTGCTTGAATAAACTTCTCTCAAAAATTAGTAACCCCTTGAGAAATTTAAAACAACCTACGCACATGAAAGAATCCAATTATTATATATTATTTATTATTTATAATCTAATCAAACTTTTCAGATCTGTATACACCACGAAAAGCTCCAATTCCGTCGTTTCCACCTTGCTTTCCGTAAAATTGAAGCAGGACGAAACGATTTTCCGATGAGTTTATTTATCCACGTGAACTCACTTTTCTTGTTTCTTTTTCTTCTCGTTCCTTCATTTTTTTTTTAATTTTCAACGGTTCCAGATTTCAAATCGAAAGGAATTAGAACAGATTGGCTTGCCAATCGTAGGGCGGGACTGGAGAAAACCCATTTTCTGGAAAATTTAATCTGCGTACCTATATTTGAAAATCGCTGTTCACTTTTTATCTGATTCTCGGTAGAGGTTATTTCAGAGTGGGAATCATAGAAGGTAGGTACATAAAGTAATTTGGAAAAGAAACAATAATAGTTGAAAAATACTCAATGTACTTCAAAATAAAATAAAGGAAAATGGGTTAATTTCAAATGCATTTGGTACAAAATATGTCTCTGCTGTGTTTATTTGGCTATAATTAAATGCCTGTTGATTTAAATAAAGACTCGACTTTGTTAGAAGTAGGATTATACTTTCAAAAAAATAATATAATTAGGACCAGACTATTATAAAAGGATCCAATATATTTTAACGAAGATTGTGGTCTACATACTATTTTTTTCTCTTTTTGAGAAGATTATCCTGGAAGTACCGGTCCCAGATAATGAGAATATAAAGATTTTCATGTTGAAAACTTAATGGCATATTAAAAAAGTTTCCTTTAACGGGAAAGTAAGAGTTATTAGGACAATGATTTTGATAAATGCTGTCGTAAAAGTCCTTATATACCGCTTTTAGTTTTGTTTTATATCCTTCTCTTGGTGAAATTAAGGTTTCTGTTGGGATTTTATTGCCAGATGGCGAAAATGATTCTAAATTTCGTTAAAAATTTAATGAAATTTTGGATTTGGAAATGTCGAGATTTATAATAGTTTTACAACTAATAGTTTGTTTTAGATTTCCACAATTCATCTCATTTTAGGAGTTCTAGTGGCAGGTTAGATATTCTGCAGCATCTATATTTTTCTCCTTGTTTTATCAACATTTTCTTTACTTAATATTTTAATTTTGTTTGTATAATCTTGATGTTTTAATATATCTTGTACTATAACATAAACAAAGTGTTGTTAACAAACAAGTTTTGTTACAATAATATTTATGTCTGAAGAAGATGACCAAGGGAAAGGAAAATTAAAACAGACACATTACTGGAATAAATGAAGAAAGATAGAGAAGAAATAATCAACAAAATGAAGAGAATGGGAAATTAAATGAAATGAAAATAGATAGAAATATAAGGATTACGGAAATTAAATAGAGGCAGGACTGTGGAAAGATACTGAAAAATAGGAGATAATCGAAGAAAGAAAGAGTAAGGACTAAAGTCAAAGAGATTGTGCTAAGTTTAAAGAGAACGAAAAAGTCTTCATTTTAATCAACAGGCATTTAATTATAGCCTAATAAAATCAGCAGAGACTTATTTTGTGACAAGTGCATTTTATTTTTTTTGTTTTTTGTTTTTTTTTGAATTTTTTTTTTGATTTATTGTTTTTTTTTTGTAATTTTATATAGATATTTACATATTTTCAAGTGTTGAACGGTTACTCCAGCTCCAGTTGCTTCTCTTTTTGCCAAAGCTTATGGTAAAACAGCAACTAATGCTATATGTTGGAGTGGCTTTAAAGCCACTAGAATATTGCCATTTAATGCAAATGTATTTCCGGAACACATGTTTTTACCAAGTACAGTTACAAATGTACCTCAAGATATAGATGCAGCTACAACCTCAGATTTAGAAGAACCTCATTCATCCACAACAGTTATTTTAGAACCAGCATTGCCAGAAGAAAAGTCTGCAGCAGAAATGTTATTAAATATATCGTCTTTACCACATAGAAATACAAGAAAATGTAAGACACGCAAAAAAATTCCTACTAGGACATTTTAACAGCAAGTCCATATTTAGAAAGTCTACGGAAAAAGAAATAAACAAAAAAGCTGAAGAATTAAGACAAAGTAAAAGAAAGACTGAGAAAAAAGTGTTTGACGACTCACGAGTCTGATGAACTTTTTAATACCAGTGACGACGATGACAGTGACTGTCCGTGCTTGTATTGCAATAAACTATTCGCTGTGTGCATTTGGCTTGGAGGATATAGATTGAGCTATCGCAGCGCCTATGGTGGCAGGAGTCGGCGATTGTCCACATCATCGTAGGAGCGCGGCAGCGTGTTGTGGGTCTCGTGTTGGGTATTAAAATGAGTCGTCGTTATTGTAGTGTTGTCGAGTGTAAAAACACTAGCAAAAATAGTGCGAATAAGTTTTATACGTTTCCAACCGCATCACATAAATTGGAGCAAAGAAAGAAATGGATAGCAGCTGTGAAAAGAAAAAAGTGAGTAACATAACCTCTGTCGTATATATATCATAAACATCGAAAGTAGGAGCGGTATTTGAATGCTCAAGTAATAGTGATAAATAAATTATTTATAACGTAATAGATTTAATGGTTTTTCCACAGCGCTGATGGTTCACCTTGGGTGCCAAAACGGAATGATTATATATGCAGTGGTCATTTTATTGGAAATAAAAAACGAGAAGAAGAAAGTAGCCCAAGTTATGTACCGACAATATTTCCTTTTCTTGGCGTTTCAGGCTAAAAGTTTATGTCATGAGATATTTTCTCAAATCCAGTGTACAAGATGACACTCATGACAAAAATGTAGCATCTAAAAATACAGACAAATTACATTGATTTATGACATTCAAAACGCAGATACTTCGTATGCATAACCTCCAAATATTTTTATGTCATTTACTTACTTTTTGTGCGAGAGAAACAATTTTTGTTAGTCTATCAACTAACAGCGAACACAAAACTTGTTGCAACACTTAATTGTTAAAAAAGAATTTTCAAGTTCAACTGTTGAGTGTGAGGTGTATAGCAAGTATGCGGGAATGAATGAGGAGAACTGTCGCTATCCCGTCACCAGAGAGCGCTACCAGTCTTGCACACAGCGAATACAGTCATTCAAAAGCACATGAAGGTTGCTTGTGGATGGGCGCACGCTGAGTGTGCTGGCCTTTCTAAAAGGGTTAAACAATTTATTTGTGATAGTGTGTTAATTAATATTATTTGTAACTAAAATGATTTAATATTTTTTTCGTATGTCATCTTGATTTTGTTGAAAAAATTGTTATATTATACCAGTTTATGTAATATCCCAATAAGTAAGTAAGTTAACTATATACACTATTTATATCATTTTGCTAAAAAAAATTTTAAATAGATCTTATTTATTTTTGAGATATTTCTATCTATTCAATGGGTATGTCAACTTGCCGACCTCTCCACTATATTCTTCGGTCAGTCCCAACTTTTGTACTTTCCTTCTTGAAATAGAAGTTGCAACAACTAATTCCAATGTTTGGAAATGTGTTTCTCAAAGCTGGTATTGCAGCCATTTCAAAGTCAGTCTTTACTGTTTTCGGCAACCCCTGGGAAGTTTTTCTTTTATTATTTCACACAATCTAATATATGTTTTCTTCTGCTTGTTTTGCAATAGCGCAAACATTACAGGAACGAACTAAATCCTATTGAACTGATATGGGCACAAGTTAAATGATGTAGAAGCATTGTTAGAAACCTTCATATGAAGGAAAATTGGCAAAAAAAGGCAATCAAGCATGTGTTAAAAGAAGAAGAAAACATGTGGAATCTGGACAAAATCTTGGATGTCGATACTCCAGCGCCACTATAATTATGAAATAAAGTTTTTATTATTATCATAGAGTGACTTCGACATTTGATGAACAATTCAGATTGATACATATTGCATTTGAAAAGTTAAATGGGTCAATTATAATGTAAACCACATTCAGTTAAACTGTCATCGATAAGCAGATTCTTTCTACTCCAGCCCATGGACTATGAATGTCCAAATTTCGGACCAATTACGGCGTACATTGACTACAAGCCGCAATTTTGCTTTTATTGGTCCTGCATTATTAAATTCGGAATTGAAGTTGGCTGAATGATAGGCCACGTCGTCGACGCAAACCCACGCCAACTTGAGTTTGTTGTAATTTTGACTATACCACCACTTGACCCGGCTTTTACTGCCTATCAACGTTTACGACTTGTTTTATTTTTGTCGTAGAGAACGGCGTTGTGTTTTTTTCGAGGGTCGAGTTTATTATGATTACGAGTAAAGGGGACAGATTTGGGAACTATCGAAGTATAGAAAAAAGCAAAATGGCCCATTATTGGCTAATAATGCTGTTGAAGAATTACAGAGTGAAGGGACAAAAGAAGACGCATCTTAAAGCAAACTTTTAACCATTTTCTTTGTAAAAATGTCTTTTAAAATTTAAAATTAGACCAATCTCTTAATGTTGGAGACCAATTCTCAAACCGTAAAAAGAGTTCAACTCTTACTTGTAAGTATTACCACTCATATTTGTCTTTATCTTTGATCTATTATATCCAAACCTTAAAATCGTCGGTATTTGATCAAATTAAGAGCAAATCAACTTGTTATGAAGTTGTTTTACTGTTTGTTTGGATTGTATACTATAACGCTCTGTATAATCACTTCACAAAACATCTGTTTACATGGTTTTATGTTTTATATTAAATATTACGTAAACATTGTTTAAAATTTACGTAATTAAGAAACGAAATAAAGAATATCTTTAGCAGGCATAAATGTCTACTTGCTTGCGTTCGGCTATTCGAAATTCAAGAGTTTTCTCTCGTTTCTTGGATGCTGCACGATCGCGCTGTGGTTCCGTCAAACTCAGTGTCGGTTGGGTTCTAATTCGTTGACTTTAACAATACCATATAAAATCAAAACTAAATATATTCTATCACAATATATTTCCAAATGACGCACAATACTTCGTAATAAATAAAGCTTTCTGATGAAATTTTACATGCATACGTAATTTCTATCCATGTCACAATAAAAAGTTGAATATTTGTTTACCAGTGTAATTTGCCTTAAAGCAAATTAATTAATTAATAATACGTACAACTTTGTCACATAGGTACCAGGATACATAGATACAAAATTAGCAGGATTATCAATATACTGACGATGCTGATCCGGAAATATCAAAATTTATTACTTTCTCTGTGAAGGATTTTCTAATATTTACAAAAAATTCTTAAAGTAATTAGTCATGTTATCTTCTTTTTTAATAATTCATATTTTTATTAAGTATATAATGGAACATGTTCACATATGAGATATGCTGTTTTATAAATTATATTATATTTATAAGTGACAAAGTTAAGCATGTTAGAACAGAAAATTAAAACTTAATAACATCTAAAACTATTTAGAAGAGCAATACACAAGTATTTACTGCAATACTACTTTTAGTTGGTCAAAGATTACCTACTTACTACATGTCATTGTAAATAATTGTAATTTAATTATTTTTTTTGTGTATGAATGACTACTTTTAGTAAATATACAAACTCTTTCTGGTACAACTATTATACACATTATTTACATGAATAAATTTACCATAATATTGCTAAATTGAAATAATAAAAACACAAATATGTTTGTATTTTATGAAATAAAAATATACTCTTGAAAATACTAAAAACATCATCACTTTATTAAATATTTTATTATTTTTAGATCTACCAGACTAGTATATTATGAAGATAATGCGATTTTCCATGAATAACTTGAGAAAAGGAGACATTTGCACAGTAATCGGAATAATTACACATGAACATAAAGTATTTTGCATTATTTATCCCACATTTAAAGTAAATAATTCTGAGGTAGATAACAAGTTGAATTTGATAATGAATCTTAAGAGCAATGTTTAATTTGTGCAACTACATTATTGTTAGGTCTTGTATATATCTTTTTTTATTATTTGTAAATAAAGTGTTTTTTTACTTCGTTTATCTTATTCAGGTACTTTTATTTTTTAATAATAGGTTAATAAATAAATTTTTACAGATTTTACATTTTTGTTTGTATACAATTATTATAATCTCTAAAATGTGATAAATTAATAAAAAAAAACACAATTAAACAGTTTATTAAATTATTAGGAATTTAGTTTTACAAAATGAGTTTTTTTAAGTTAACAATACCATTAATTCACAGAGAAATGTAAAAGGTTTATGTAAATTACACTTTCCATCTTATAAATATCATTGATGATTTTAAAAACACTGTTGGGCAATCCTATATATACCTTCAGTTTATTTTCAGTTATTTTGAGATTTCATTGGTTTTGAATTAAGTCCCTTCGAATCAGATATTAAAGATGTTTCTTCTGATTCAGACAAAACTTCACTATCTTCAAAACTTTCAGGAGGTACCAAGGGAGGTTTTTAGGTTATACGCCTTCGAACTTATAGTAGGCTCATTTTAAATTTCCTAAAGGGCAATGTCAGAAATTGCTGATGCATCTTGAAGATCCGGTGTTTTTTTATCAAATAGAGATAAAAAATGCCTCTAGAAGAAGCTTATTTTCCATTCAACTTTTTAGAATACTTTTTTTGGTAGAATCAGTGCCTATTTTATTTAATTATTTAATAATTTATTTGATTTACTACTCCAAATACGCCTATAAAAAACCTTCATCTCTTGAAATGTACATCAAAGCTGTATATACGTAACATATGTTTAGAAATTGGTGTATATATATTAAATCTAAACAAAAAATGGGATTTTTAAAATATTTGACAGGTATTGAAAGTATCAAGGGAATATACAATGATTATGTTGTCAAGCAGGTGATAATTTTTCTATTATTAGCTAAATTATTTTTATACGTTTACTTTACTTCCTTTAATATAATTTATAACTCATTTAATTGCATCATTTAAATTTCATAGATGACTGTTTGTTTAATATTACCGGTTTATAAAACA